AAGAGGAGGGTTCAAGATGACCGCTAAACTTGCCCCTCCCACACACCCCAAATATACATCCACATATAGAACAATTCCTCCTTAGACACATGGAGGGATGATTGAACAGCTCTTGCACAATAGACAAAAGAGAGACTGCATAGAGAAGGTTGAGTAACCATGGGAGCTCTCTAGGATTTGTGGGCACTCTTCAGAATGAGGCATATGGAGGTACCAGTGAGCACCACTGTTTACATTCCCCCTCTACCTACATAATTCGAGCCAGCCATTTCCAGGTGCTCTGGCCGATGTGCAAGGCCACTGCAGTGCATTCCCAGCTGCCTGCTTAGAGCCAGCTCTGACCTGGACAGCAAGGCACCTTTGTGCACATGCACACTAGGCTGCATGGCCCAGAGCCCACTTTGGCCCCAGTCAGCTGGACTAATAGGGCACCACCACACACTCATATGCATTAGGCTGCCCTCTCCCGAGCCTGCTGGTACCCCAGGTGCCACACACACCCCAGCTCCAACCAGCCTGCCAAAACCACTGAGCACAAACAGTCTACACAGAGGTCATTTCTACACAAAGCCATTTTTTCAAGATTGGGTGAGACAGCTACTTATCAATTCATAGAAACAAACACAGAGAGCAAAACAAAATGAGAAGACTGAGGCATATGTTTCAAATGAAGGGACACTAAAAAAACAAACAGGAAAAAGCCTCATGAAATGAAAATAAGTATTTTTTTATAAAGAATTCAAACTAACAGTCACAAGGATGCTCACCCAACTTGACAGTAGAATAGAGGACCTCAGTGAAAACTTCAACAAAGAGTTAGAAAATGTAATAAAGAACCAATTATCACTCTACCTAATACATAGAAACAAACACAAGGAAGCAGACAAAATATGGAGACAAAGAAATATGTCACAAATGAAAGAACAGAAGAAATCTCCAGAAAAAGAACTAAATGAAATGGTAGCAAGCAAACCACTAGATATAGAGTTCAACAATGGTTATAAAGATGCTCAAGGAACTTAATGAGGGCTTCAAGGAACTCAGTGAAAATGCTAATGAATGTAGTGAGAATTTCAAGGAAATTAATAAGAACATCAAAGACATGAAAAAGGACCAGTCAGAAATGAAGGACACACTAACTGAAATGAAGAATAGTTTACAGGGAATCAACAGTAGAGTAGAGGATGCTGAGAATCAAATCATCAGTTTGGAATATGAGGAAGAAAAAAAAACCCAATCAGAAGAGCAAAAAGAATCCAAAAATATGAAGATAATGTAAGGAGCCTTGGGACAACTTTAATCATAGTACCAACATTCGCATCATGGGGGTGCCAGAGGAGAAGAAAGGGAGCAAGAAAGTGAAAACCTATAAGAAGAAATAATGACAGAAAACTTCCCCTACCTGGTGAAAGAAATAGACATACAAGTACAGGAAGCACAGAAAATCCCAAATAAGATGACCCTAAAGAGGCCCACACCAAGACACATCATAATTAAAATACCAAAGGTTAACGACAAAGGGAGAATCTTAAAAGCAGCAAGAGAAAAGCAGTTAGTTACCTACAGGGGAGCACCCATATGACTGTCGGCTGATTTCTCAATAGAAACTTTGCAGGCCAGAAGGGAGTAGCAAGAAATATTCAAAGTGATGAAAAGCAAAGACCTGTGACCAAGATTACTCTACCCAGCAAAGATGCTATTTAGAATTGAAGGTCAGATAAAGAGCTTCCCAGACAAGGAAA